TCTTTTCATGATGTGAGGGACTATGTTCTCACTCAAAACTTTGACATAGTTGGTTTCACAGAAACTTGGCTCAAACCAGACGTTTTTGAAAGTAATGTACAAATTGCGGGATACCAGCTTTTTAGGCATGACAGGGTTGATAGGCGAGGCGGGGGTATTGCCTTATATGTCAGAGTTGGCTTACGATGCTCAATGCTGGAGAACTTGCATGCAGAGGTGAACAGTGGTTTTGAACAGCTTTGGGTAAATATATTTGTCAACAAAAAAAAGTACACGGTTGGAGTAGTTTATAAACCCCCCAGTGTCAGCTATAGAATTCTGTCGGAGCTGGAGGAAATGTTGACATCTATATTTCCAACATCAGAGGGTTTAGTATGCATGGGCGACTTGAATATTAACTTCTTTGATTGTAGTAGTCCTGAATGTGTCTTTGTCTCTAACATTTTTGAAGATTTGAATCTGCATCAAATAGTTGACCATGAAACCAGGGTCACGAATAACAGTAGTACCTTAATAGATGTCGTTTTCGTTAATGATGAAGTTAAGATTGCTAATAAAGGAGTTGTGAATCTTCCTGCGGTGTCCGATCACTATCTAGTTTATTTTTGTGTGGAATGTGAACCAGCCGTTAGAGATACAAAATATGTACTGACCCGTGATTTAAGGAATATTGATGAGTCTCTTTTGAATGAGGTAGTGTCTAATACGCACTGGCTAGGTGTTATCGACTATGATGACATTGAATCAAAACTGCAACATGTTTACAGCCTTATTGATGATCTGCTAAATATATGCGGACCAATCAAAACTATGAAGATATCAAAAGCACGTTGACCCTGGATTACACACAATATTAAATTCATGATGCGGTTACGCAATAATGCCTATTCTAAGTATAGGAAAACTGTTAAGAACCATTTTGTCTGACGAGATAAAAACTGCCAAATGGAACTACTATAAGCAATTAAGGAATCTAGTCACAGCATCTATTAGGCGCGAAAAAAAAGCATATATTGAATACTAGCTAAGAAAAAGCAACAGTTCTCGGAGCTGGTGGAAAGCTATAAAGGAGCTAGGGATTCATGGTTCGAAGGGTAAAAATAATCAGTGTACTTTGGAACCCAACATATTAAATAACTGTTTTGTGGATTCAGTTCCCGATAACTCAATAAATGAAACACTCTTATAGTACTACAACACCAACATGCTACCAAATATCAATGACCTTTTCAGTTTAAGTTTGTTACCGAGGAAAAAGTCTTGAAGACCTTTCAAAAAATACACTCGCGTGGTACCGGAATAGATGGATTAAATATAGATACATTTTCCTATGTTCTTCCTTTTTGCCTCAAGGCTCTTACTCATATTATAAACTTTTCTTTGGAACATGGTATCGTACCACTCATATGGAAAGCCGCAACTGTTATTCCCGTTGGTAAAATCGATAATCCCCAATTGCCTTGCGATTTCAGGCCTATAAGCATACTTTCACTCTTGTCAAAAATTGTAGAAAAGATCGTTTACGAGCAAATGCTAACACACATCAATAAATACAGCTTAATTCCAAATACACAGTCGGGATGTAGAAAAAATCATAGTACTGTGACTGCATTAGTTGACATTTGTGATGACTACTTGAGAGCTATAGATAATTCCTGCGTAACTACAACTGTTCTGTTGGATTTAAGAAAGGCATTTGACTGTTTAAACCAGAAAATGTTATTGGCTAAGCTGCACTTTCTTGGTTTTTCTGAGAATTCGATTACATGGTTTGACAATTACCTATCAGATCGACTTCAACAAGTTAAAATAGGCAGTGACTATTCTGACAATCGGGTCATTGTAAAGGGGGTGCCGCAAGGTTCCATTTTAGGACCAATGTTATTTACTTTATACGTGTCGGACTTGGATCGGTCGGTCAAACATTGCGCCTTACATTCTTATGCTGATGATACCCAGCTTTATCTATCCTATGATCTCTCCTCATGTGTTGATGCTAATGAAAAACTAGCAGTAGATTTAAGCGGCGTTTGTGATTGGTTTAGATACCACGGGTTACACATAAACTGTAGCAAATCGGCCATAATTACCTTCCGCTCTAAGAAGAACGAGTTCAGTGGAGATGCTATAAAGCTATGCCTCAATAGTGAAGAGCTCACACACAAAATATCGGTATTAAACTTAGGAATAATCTTTGGTGAGCACTTAACTTTTCATGATCATATTTCTAAGGTTGTACAGAGCTCTTTTGCTAAACTAAAAAGCATCTACAGCTTTAAGCACGTGTTGGCTCAAGATACTAAAATTAAGCTTTGCGATTCAGTCATTTTAAGTAAGTTAGAATATGGAAGTTCCGTGTTTGGTCCTTGTTTGGCTGAAGCCGAAGCTTACAGACTTCAGAAAGTGCAGAACAGCTGTATTAGATATTCTGTTGGAATCCGAAGAAGGGAGCGAGTGTCTCCATTTATTCAAGAAGTGAATTGGTTGACGATGAAGCAGAGGTGGTTGGTTCACATTTTATGTTTGGGTCATAGCATTTTATTGACCAAATACCATATATACTTAAATAATAAGTTATCCTTGAGAAGTCAGCATCATGCAGCCAACCTCCGTTTCGTTGGTTACACCCTTAACACGTCCCATCATAGAACCACCCTATTTACTAAGAGTTTCTCTTTTGTTGCACCCAATCGCTATAATATGCTCCCTGTCAGCTTTAAAGTTTTATCTGTTCCACTTTTTAGGTCAAAATTAAAAAAAAATGTTTTTGAAAATATGTCATAATTATATGATTATATATATATATGATTATATATGATTTTTTCTTTAAATTAAAAAAACATGCCTATTCTTGGCATAATAGATTTTTCATTATTGTTACTCAACAATGTTTATGTCTCCCAGATTTTGTATTATAATTTTGTTTGGCCCTGGTTGGTATGAAAAAGAGCTTTTAGCTGACACCCGCCAGGTTAAATAAAGGCTATTATTATTATTATTATTATTATTATTATTATTATTATTATTATATCACTCATTTCTTTTATATCTGGCCATCTGATTATCACATTCCAATAATAATTCATGAGTGCCTCGTTTCTATCAAATCCGTGACGCTTCTCATATTTCTACATCTTCAAGTTAAGTTTGAGATTCACAAATATTAAGAAATGGGAATTACAATCGATTCTGCTCATGGGTTTCCGAGACTTTTTCCTGATTAAAGACTCATAACTGTTGGCGAGAAGTATTTAGAAAGGCTAGACGTTTTGTTTTTGTAGCATTTGTTTTTTTGGGTAAAATGTGATGCCTGAATCAATCAAAGTGATTTAAGAATGATAATAATAATAATAATAATAATGATTATTTATCATTGACTTCGAGGTTGAGCCATTTATTTTAACAGTGAGTAGATCTGATCAAAAGAAATGTTTTTTTCCTTTACCATTTTTCTGGTAAAATTAAAGTAACAAAGTTATAGCCCTTTGGAAGTTTGAGTACCGCCCTGTCTCAATGATAATATTATGTGCTCGTGTTTGGCAACAACGGATATAATCCGCCATCGGTTCATCGCATCGGAAACAAAAAAGCGAAAGAATTTGGAACGATGTTTTTACAATTATTTTATTCAGTTGTGTTGTATACAGTCAGTGTCAGTCGGTAACGCGTCAGTGAATAGTGGTGTCTGTTGCGTGGCTCAAACGAAATAAAAAATGGCACATGTTTATGCGGATCGGTTTCCCAATCGAGTGCAACCAACCCCTCGTGCCTTTGTTAATGTAGTACAACGGGCTCGTGAATCAGGTGACTTAAGACGGCATGCCGGTGCTCCAAGACCTCGCGATCAAATACAGGTCCGCACCGAAATACTTGTCGGGAGGATACTTTATAAAACGAGGTACATTTTTTTTATTTTTTTTTTATTTTTACACACATATTTTGGTTTATCTTCCTTCTAAAATCATTATCTGAAAATTAATGACTCAACTTCAAAGTCACTCTGTATATATATATATACATTTCACACACACATGAGAAAGAAAATAATAATATTGGGAAAACCTCAAGGGGGAGTTCACCTAGAGGTGTTGTTCCACTCAACCTTTGTCAGTAGTAGAATACATGTAAAAGATATAGTCTAACATAATACTAACCAAAAAACACACATAGGGTCACATAAATTAAACAAGGAAATTGTAATTATTTAATTGGTCATAAAGTAATCCGAAACTAGTTCCTTAAATTTATGTGGATTACTTGATTTGAGGTGATAAGGAAGAGAATTATAATATCTAGCAATTGCAGATTTGAAGTTTCTTTCAAAAAGAGCTGACCTGGGAGATGGTATATTGATTAGGTGTTTATCTCCCCTGTCAACGTTATGAACATGTGTGCGAAATGCCTTTTTGGTAGAGAAAGGATGGTTCTTATAGTACAGTATTTATTCCTTTAATTTGGGTGAAACGTGCTCATACTTTTTAATCCCATATATGAATCGAATGCATAAGTTCTGTATACGTTGGATATGATTAAGGCTATTTTGATCTCGATATGAAGCAAATACAGGTGCACGGTAGATAAATTCTCAAAGTACCAGAGTACCGCATGACATTTTCTTAGTTCTGTTGATCAATATGATCTATGGGATCAGAGTAATTTTAGCGATGCGTATGCCCTCTGTGTGTATTTCGTTGCGTTATCCCTAAACCTCAGATCCTGATCAATGAAAAAATCCAGATTCTTTGCCTTACCTGTAATTTCAATGTCAGAATTATTTATATCTATATGAAGGTTTCATTCCAAAAACTGGCGTTGAGATTTTTTAGCAAATACCATATCCAGAGACTTGCTAGGGTTTAATGGCAGTGAATGCCTTGCAGAAATATCTACCAGAGTAGCATTTCCAGTCAGTCACCGAGAAAGAACAATATACCTACGTGTCATCCGGATACATATGCCTTTACGGCTTTTGTATACATTGAATAGAATGTCAAGCCTAATCAACAGTGACTTGTATGCCCATAAATACATCATTGATGAAGTAAAACAACACGCCGTGTATAATTAGCGTCAGTGAATGACAGTTGTAGAACATCTCCAAGGTTTGGGTTAGATCGCGTTAAAATTCGCAGTAAAAATGGGCAGTACACAGTTGGACGAAAACTTTTTTTATAACAGCATGCTGGCCAAAGCCATGGTTCAGATGCTTCCTCCAAACGGTAAGCACTTCTTCACTTTATTTCTTCATATCGTTTTAAAGTCGCCAGTAGAATGACTACGCGGGTTGCTTCAAGAATAAGGTTCCCACATTTTTTTCAGGCACAAGGAATTTTTTATTGGAAACGTTGTTCTTTAAGCTATTTTTCTACGCATTTTTTTAGACATGGAATGCCTCTAAGAAGTCCGCCGCCAGTACGCTTGGAAACTTGGTAGCTGCTCCTTGCAACTCCTCGTCCGTCTCCAAGCGTTGACCGCCTAGGTGCTCTTTCAACTTTGGAAATGCTATGTCAGGGTTGTAAGGAGGATCGGCAATGACTTCCCAGCCCAATCGCTCGATTCAGTCCTTCGAGACATGAGGATGCGTATTGTCGTGGTGCAGTCTTACACCTTGCAGAGTTTGCTTGTCCAGGCTTCCTCGGTGATCGATGGCCTCCCGCTTCGTTGTTCATCGTGGACGTCTCAGCGGTCGTCAAATAACGCCCTTCACCATTTGAGGACATGTTGAATGCTTATACTCGTTTCGAATATATTTCACTCAACTGGCGAGTAATTTCTATGGTTGGTAACGTTTTTGCGTGCAAAAATCGGATGACCGCAAGAATTTTTCACCTGGCGGTGATGGCAATCACAGATAAACCCTTCTGATAGCAATAATTACGCATTGCTGTCAGGCCGGTACTGAACACAAAACATAAAGGATTTTTTCGCGAGTCCACGGTGTAGCACAGTGCACTACCGGGAACGGATACTCAAATTTTTGCGAAGAACGGGAGTAAGGGAAGACGGATGTGACGTCGTCCGAATGTAAAAAAATCACGTGGTACGGGTACCCGCCTAACGTGTGTGAGGTACTAGCGGGTGACAGATTTTATGTCAATGTCATTTAAAAAACAGGAATCTCAATTGGAAATTCGTCTTCGGAGTGCTGAAAATTGAGTTAAATTATTAAATCATAAATGTAGGAATATGTCCACCTGATTCTAAATGACGAGAGAAAAGGTCATCGAAGATATATGAACAGCACTTGTCATATCAAATGATTGATATATGTACATTGCACAAAAAACGATCGGTCATTATTTCAGACTCAAACAAGGCAGCTAAGTTTATCAAGGAGCTTAAAGCAAACAGTTTGCGCAACATGCGCCATCTAACCACTCCCGGTGTAACTTGAAACTGTCTAAACTTCGAGAGGAAGGGGAAACTCCATCTGCTCCCGCTCCGGTTCACTACGGGATCTCGCGAAAATATCTCTATATACACTGAAGAAGGTTTAATTCCATGCTATTCAATGGCAGCACGGTGACTTGTATGGTTGTCAGCGACATGGTTGCCCGATTGTGCATTAATATCTCGCAACGTTGCCAGCTCTACATATGAATCTGATATTGCCATACTTTTATATATAGAAATTTGGTGGGATATGGGAGATCTCATAACAGCATGTGTTATTAACATTTTGCGCTATCTTGACGAATAAATGCTTTTTTGTATGTTAAAATAGCAACGTCAATAACACAAGCTGTTATATGATCACTAATATCTACTTACTAATCTGGAAAGGTTCAGAAGAAACACATATACTGCTTATACCTAAATATATATTTGTTAAATAAATCTCGTACATTTTTCTACAAACAAATCAGTATTAACATCATTATGGTCCAGATGTTTTCATTCGCCAGCCTTTGTTGGCACCTGCATAAATCAAAAATTAGAAAAAGCTTGAATTGTGTTATTGTGTTGATATGTTACTACAAGTCACAGAATTCTTTTTTTATTGAAACAATAATATGATTGTCCATGGGTACCCACAGGAATTTTTCTCAGATGTGCTGATCATCATCAAGACATATGTTACCATAGCCCCCCTGGTGGCACCTATGTTATTGTTCAATAACAATACTTGGCTTTGAGTTCATTAAAATTATAGTGAGCTTTACATATCAACCCTACCGCTCTGACAATAGCTGATTTAAAACGAAGTATGAAAACTAACTTGGACAAAAAGTTAAGTTATTGAGTCAAATAAAAACTTACAAATGTTATGTTCTGCAAATATCCTTCAGAGCTGTGCCTTTTGGTTAGATCAGAAGTAATCTCCGAGCGTCTGATAATTCTCAGGACCTCAGAGGTTGACAACGGCAGCTGTTGAACTTTTCGTGGCGCTCCACTATTCAAAGAGTGATGTGGAGATACAAACAGGTACGATCTTCAAATATTACATTCCTAAAATGAGTAACCGCTGCATCTCTGATCTTCCTCAGGATCTGCCAGAAGCCTGGCTGGTTTTGATGTGGAGTTTGTCTTATAGTATTTACAAACATCGGTATTACAGCTTTGTGTACTTACATTGTTATACTTCAAAACTCCGAACAAAATGCATATGGCTCAAAAATAACATAATAGGGACTTTATTTAATTAAAATGAAATGTTAAAAAACTGACATGCTGGAAAGAGTGAGGTTATTTTTGCAAAGCATCACAGACCACAGCCACAGAAACAGGAATCAGACAACGTCAGTTGTGAATAAGTCGCCATTTTTTGAGGATGCGACATGGCAACAGCAACACTGCTTTGTTTCCCATTTGCCAATATGAGTTTCACCCCCCTGGTACTGAACGTCGCTACTTGTTGAGATCGATGGTGGGGGAGCCGATGACACTACAGCGTTGCCAGATTTCGCCTAGCATCACGCGCGGCAAGGTTACAGCGTTGGGAACCTTATTTTTGAAACAAACCTCGTACTTGACATAAAAAGACTAAATGAAACAAATTCTAAGTGAATTAGAAATTAATAAAATATTATAGGGATTGTGGTTTGACATACCAGTAATTTAAAAAGCCTATAACAGTTGCTTTTCGTACCTCTAATTAGTCTAATTAAATATTAAGCAGGTCTGTATCTTATTTTAGATAGAAAGGTGATTCGATTGTGGTTTGATAAACTGATGCAAACTGATAAAAATAAGGAGCAGAAGGAAATACGAAATGAATATGTGTGGTTCATTTTACTCATGCTGCAATGTAAGAAATTGCGAGAACCATTCACTGGAGTTCCACCACTTGAACTGGAACCTCTCAGAGATATAGTGGTATGTGTAGCTTAAGCAAAAAGGAGCTTTACAATTATCCAGAAAGATGGCGAGTCGCTGACTGCTCTACGGTTGTAAGTCTTACCAGACGTTGCTAACAGAATCTTTCATTTCAGTCAAGTAAAGTATACGAAGAAGTGATGGTTGCAAACGATGACAATATGGACTGGTTGGAGAAGTCCAAAGGCATATCGAAGAGGAACGTTCAGTTTAGAGGAACAGCTCCTTCGCAGTTTTTCAAAAGTATGCCCATACCAAACGCCGGCGTCATTTGTTACTTATCAGCATTTAGTGATAGAGGCAATTAAGGTCTTCTTATTTTGTAATCATGTTAAAGTTTTCGAGAAATGAAGATGCCACAAATAAAGTTATTTCGAGTGTCTAGTAATCCGGAATTACTTTAGAAGGTCTGAATGTTCATCCAACGTTAACCTCAATAACCAAATTGGATCGCAACCTACAATTTTTTTGAGTATACATGAAGGCAAATTATAATTGATATTCTCTTATCCGACTGGCGGACGATAAGTTTCTTCTTTCCAGGTATGTTATCGGATCCCAAAGACGCGCAGATGTTTTAATCCGCCAGCTTAAGGCCAAACCGACCCCTGCGAGGAAGACTATTGTAACTCAGTTTTGGTTGAACTCAGATAAAGGCATTAGACCATTTTCTGTTGAATTTCGTTGTAAAAAAAAGATCTCATCGAAAATATGTTGCACATTGCAGTAAGTCTTGTATATAGAAGGTTATACAATACTATAGTTTTTGTTGGATCAAGTAAAGGAAAAGTACACTTGCTCTAGACTTAGTAGGACATTTATTGAAATATTACAGTATTTTTCAAACAAACCGTCGAAAAATCTGCCAATCTGGGTCACTCAAATTATATTCATCTTCGTGTTCTCAACTATCATCGTTCTCAACTTCTGTATTTTCAGCACTGTTAATATTATGTATATGTATTTTTTTATCCTCCTTAGCTTTTAGAGAAAAATTAAAAGCAGGTAAGCCTCAGGATTGCTATTTGCTTTTGATTTACGATTTATATAGATCTAATGAACTGTTTAATTTTCTAGCATCTACTGGGAGCAAGCTTGTGTACAGCAAAGTGCGTATCCATATTGCGAGCCTAGCGCGGTAGCGACAACGGGCGCGAAATATCAAACATTATGAAACACGCCTTTGCATCTATAGTGTGGTGACTGAGGCGGAAGCCTAGGGCGGCGGGACCTAGCCAGGCAGCGCGAGTAGTTTTCAAACGTTCCTGTTCCGAGCTTTCTGGCCGCACTACGGGCCTAATCAGCAAGCGACCTAGCACGCGGTGGCGGCGGTAACAAACCAGCTCGGTGTTGTCGCTCGGCGTATGCATGAGTATTAATGGCGGATACTGCATTGTTTATAAGTGCAATTTAATCTAAACCACCTATCTGGCAAAGCAAACATCCGCAGCACAGATATTTTACTTAGAATGTAGTCAAACGGGCATTCGAGTGTACTCAAAAAATTTGGTAGGGTATACGAGTAATCTCAGTTCTTCCAACAACTGAAAAAACTCAACAGTTGTTTCTCTGTTTTTACTTATTTCGTGCACACCATCTCGAATGTTCAACATCTCTCATCTCAGGATGTGACTGTTTAGTAAGATTCCAAATCGTCGTATATAGTTTGGTACTTACGTCGAACCAGTACAAGAGCTCGCGTGTCATTGTGGACACCAGAAGCTGCTGCTCGCCGCGCATTCAGTATGGACGCACACTTAGGTAGTTCCTGAAGTTTATTGTTTTGCGGTCTCATTCTGTGATAGTCAATGTTACTATTGTGAGATCATAAGCATACTCACACTTATATTTCATTTCGCGAGGCACTTATTTATTTTCAACTTTTCTCCACAATCGTCTTTGTTCCAATTTTCCGATTTTACCTTTTATTTAAAACTAATGGATCCACGACCAACCGCAGACAGGACTCTTTAGCTCTCATCAGCATAGGTCTAAAATATGGTTCTGTATCAGGTCCAGACTTGGAGATGAAAGAATGAAAAGCAAACACCTGAGTGTTGTTTTAGCAAAACCGAGGAACGTAGTAGTTGAATTCTCTGTTAAACTTTTTTATTGAGAGAAACAGACTGTGATGCGGCAGATCTCAATGCATAACGTGCAGAAGAGGATGTTTGAACCTTTTTGTTGTGTTAAAGGGATTCATCACTATTTATGAACCAAACTTGCCTGCATTAAACGGTTCAGCAACTACACTTAGCTTCTTTGCATCTGCCAGAATTATTTTGTTTCTTGAATTCATTTTAGTTCGTTTTGAAAATTGCTCTTTTCATACAACTGATACTTGAAACGTTTTCGCTATTAATTACCGTAACCACAAACTATGCCGCGAAAATCATAGTAAGTCCAGACAGTGGGTCTAACAGTAAGTTAGGCTTTCCGTGTTTTTTTGCATCGAAGACTAAATCCAGTATACAACTTCTTCCCGTTCAAGTGATTGTACACGAGTTAAGGAATACCTCAGTACCGATGGCCGGGTGGCGGTACAAGTCCGCCAACGGGCCACTTTAGGTCTATTTATTATCATTAACACAAAAAAAAGGTGGTAGACCAGGATCAGTCGACCGAGGTGGTACCACACTAGTTTTTCCCAGGGTGTCTTATAAATGTCCGCCTGTTTCCACACCTAAGCTATGCAGTCGGTTGTCTTCCAAAACAAAGAAATTAATGATGATGGGTCCCTCGAGTACTAAGAATTCCGGACGTAAACTCACTCCACTCTTAGAATTCCCGGGTGGAGGGTGGACTCGAGGGAACAACATTGAAGATAAAATTTGTTTTACGAACATCTGCGGGTTTAACAGCAACAATGATGCTGCTCATCACTACTTGCAATCCAAACGTCCCGCCATGCTTTTCTTGGCGGAGACAAAAATCTCAGAGTCTGCACCGACTAACCATCTAATCTTTCCAAATTAGGAGGTGCACTCCAATCTGAGAAAGAACGGGGGAGTTGTGGCTTTTATCCGCAGGAGTATTTCCTGCTCCAGAGTTGTTTCTTTGGAATCGGAGCGGAAGGACATTCTGTGGCTTCGTCTCAACTCCAAAACATCCCCCAAATTTCTTTGCTGCCTTTATCGCCCTCCCTCGTACCATAACTGGGATGACCTACTTGAATACCTCGCCGTCAAGATCGACTTCCTGAACATCAATTACCCCGCTTCAGAGGTAGGTCTCCTCGATGATTTTAATGCCCATAATGAGCTTTGATTGGGCTGAAACAAGACCGATGCAGCAAGTGGTGCAGTTGAAGCGGTTGCTCTTACTCAAGGGCTGACCCAGCTGGTGACGAGCCCTACTTCTTTCCTCCGTCTCGTCACATGCCAGTAGCCTGCTGGATCTGTTTCTGACCACGCATCCTGTCCCTTACAGCACTGCCATCCTGTCCCTCGTGGGCAACTGAGACCATGCTGTTGTGGACGTTAGGTTTAGGTCAGAACCCTCTGTGGTAGCAGACACTCGCACAGGCAGCAAAATTTGGCATTACGGATGGCATGACTGGGCGTGGCTTAAACCAGGGTCCAACGCTGGTTTAACAAATCGTGTGATACTGCTCGCCAGCAGAAGATCAAGGTAAACATAACCTTCTTACAAAACCCCACTGCAGAGAACAGACAAGCCGACGTCGAGTCCAGAAACAAATATAACGAAGCGGTTCGCAAGGCCAAAAACCAGCACGATATAATAGTTAGGCGGTAATGTCGCAGCGCAATAGCAGTCGGTATTTCTGGACGCTGGCCAAGCAGATTGCAAATAACTTCTCACACAGTAGCCTTCCACCACTTACGTGTTAGGATGGAACGATTGTATCTGACTCAGAGGTGAAGGCTGAAGTGCTTGCCAATATCTTTGCTGCCAACTCCTCCCTAACGCCCAAGTGCCGTCAATTCAAAGAGTTCCCTACACTATGCGGTAGGTAACATTCAGGCATAGGACCGTTAGACGAGTGCTTTTGTCGCTCGACATCAACAAAGCTCCATCCTATGGCCTCCCAGAAAAGCTTTGCAGGTGGGAGGCTGACTTTATCTCTGGCCGCAAGATATCCGTGGTAACTGAAGGGTTCTCCTCTTCATCCCATAGCGTCAACGCGGGTGTTCCCTAGTGATCGGTCTTGGCTCCGACACTGTTTCTCCTACATATCAACGACCTCCTTTCCTGCACGATCAACCCAATCCACAGCTTCTCTGATGACAGCACTCTACATGCAGGAATTCAGAGTGACAGGCCGATCTCTGCCGCTTAACTGGAAAAAAGAAGACTAGCGACGACTTCCACTCTGACGAGAGGCCTGGAGGTTATCACTGCTTGGGGACGCAACAATCGTGTACAGTTTACCGCTTCCATAACACAGTACTGTACCTTGACGGACATCCGGTTTCAATGGATGGCCGAGTTCTGCCAAAGAGTAATTAATTTCGGCTGGTCGGAGTCCAGATCACGGAAGACCTGATCTGGCACGAGCACATCTCGTCAATAGCGGCAGTTGCTGGGAGAAAGCTAGGCTATTTGTTTAGGGTTGAGAAGTATTTCTCCTCATGACCTTCTCACTCTATACAAGGCCCAGATAAGGCCTAGCCTCGAGTATTGCTCAGACGTTTGGGATGCTGCCGCCCCAAATACATTATTTATGCTGGATGCTGCCCAGAGGAGGGCTGACCGACTGATCGATGACTTTTCTCTAACAGACAGTCTCGGTACCCTTTCGGACCGGCGGGCCGTCGGCGATCTAGCTCTCTTTTATTGCTACACGAACGGGCTTTGCTCCTCAGAACTCTTTCATGATGCCGCCGCGCAATGTGCCTGCCAGACAGATCCGCCTGACTTTGGCCTCCCATCCTAACCGTTGCGAACTTGGTACATCCAGAACTGACCGATACGACCGCTCCTTTGTGCCGAGGGTGTCGAGATTGTGGAACAATTTGCACGAGGAAGCTTTTCGCAGTTATACTAGCTTAGGCAGTTCAAAAATCGGATTAACAAAATTTCTTTGGGATCATCATAGCAGCCGCGGTGTCCCAGCATTTAGGCTTCTGACTGCGCAGCTGCTTCGGTATAAGAAAAAACTCAATTTGATGTATTTTTCGCGGGAGCAACCGCCACTATTATACTTACTACATTGTATATGACGTAGAAGATTTACTGGTTACCTATAGTTGCATGACAGAGATACCATATTCTTCCACCAAAGAAAACCCGATAAAGTCTATCGATACCAGTCAAAAGCAGGGATTTTTAAGTTACTATAGTCTTCGTTGCAGTGGTCGCAACTCTTGTTTCTTATATTATTTTCTCACAAGACAAATATGGTGCTCACAAATTATGGTGCCTTGCAAATGTCACATTTTGGATCCAGGGACGAGCATTAGTAGTCGAAGATTCTGTGTGTTCTCCGACACAAGAGTTATAAATGTATCGTTGCCCATGGTGAAATAACCATTAAGAACTCAAAAACAGGCACAGGTTGTACGAAAAAATCAAATCTGTTCGAACGCCCAAGTAGTTCCGACGACGGCGTGCATATTCTAACGGCGCGATCACCATTTTGATAGTGATTTTATATTCTATGGTTATAAAGTATTTATGTCAGCTTTCATCTGAGGTATTACGCGACCTCCCATTCCATTTAAAAAATATTTCAACATGGCGCTAAAAACATATCTTGAAATTTTTAACTGCCACCTTCACGCTAAAGTTATAAATTTCAGCTTGCTAACTTGATCTGCGGATTTTAACCATCTTGTGTACATCTATGGCTTGAAATAATACGTCAAGGGGGACCAAAAATTACACACTCCACTAACACGCATTTCA